GGAAGAGCAAAACTTTTTTGAATTGTAACTCGAGAATTAGGGGGGGGCAATGATCTGATAAAGCATCTCGTTAAATTTTACTAAAAACCCCCGTTTTAAAAAACCATGTTTATCAATACCCTCCTAAGGAAGGAGTATCCAAAGGGTTTGGGGGTTAGGGAGAAAGTTTGTGGATGCAAAATTTAAGCCAAATTGGTGCAGTAGTTTGTTTCCATAAAAAATCAGGAGCAAGTCTCACTAAAGGTGAGATTTTGATGAGGTCAGTTAGTGAGTGCACGTTTTTGGGGTTTTGCCAGAAGTGAATCCTAGATGCCCTTGATAGATAGGATAATAAAATAGGCAAAAGACAGTTAAACCATACCCTCAAAAAGGTGACAACTTTTCTCCATGCTGTATCCATGAGCGAGACTGTGTTTTAATTTGTAAATGGGGAGTATATTTTTTCCAAAAACTCAACAGGGGAAGGAGGGGGTTGAGGAAGAGGGGGGTGCTCTGTTTCCCTTGAACCAACTGCCCTTCCCCAAAGAAATGTGTATTAAAATGACTCCCAAAACCAATGCACGTTGAAACAAACCAACCCGGGGGGGGTTTCGCCCCCGGGGTCAGAGTCTAAAAAAACCCCAACCGTGCGTTGGGCCCTGGACAGTTTTGAGACTCCGCCGCGGGTTCAAACCCTGCCCGGGTATGGTTTTTAAATGTGTTTTAAAGGTGGGGTATCAGAAAAGGGCAAAATTAACAAATTACGATAAACGGGAATCTGAAACGAAGGGAGCACTCTCAATAAATGGGCACCCAGTAAAAAAATATAAATTTTTCCGTACTTTCAAATAATTCTTGCAGGACACCAGGTGCCCACCCATAGAGAAATATTTAGGCCAGTATTTGTGAGATGTAAGTTTTTAAAATTTTGAAATTCATATTTACTATTCCTCTTCTAAATCTCATTTCTGACCAAAAAAGCAAATTGACCACTTTAATAAGTAAGCAAAAAAATTAAATTTTTATAAATACTTTAAACGTTTTTAATAAAAAGTCAAAAAAAAAAGTGATTAAAGGTTATAATTGTTGGGGATGAAAATAAAATAAAAGGTGTTTTTATTTTTCACATGACAATTCAATCAGTAAGGTAAAAAAAAAACATGTAATTTGTAATGCTCATTTGACGCAACGCACAACATACTATAAATTTTCGTTTAGTCTTCATGGGAGAATATTTTTTCAGATTTTTAACCTAAGGGTAGAAACCAGGATAACCCAAAAAAAAACCAATTATCGACGGGCTTTTTTTCCCATGGGATTCTTTGACCCTCCCCCCAGAATGCAACTTACTCAGTTGGTTGACACATAGGTCCCTAATTATTGGTAGGTAAACAGGGATAAAAACAGGAAAACCCAACATTCCCCTTGTCGGGGAATTGGAATTTTCTTAAAATTTTTTTTTTTTTTTTCTCTTAACGTGAAAAAAAACAGATATTTTTCACATGAATTAATAAGTTGAGAACAATTGAAATAATTATTTCCCCCAAAAAAAATCTTAGCAAAATGAGCTAAAATTTTGCAAACTTTTAATACTGCAGTTGAATCCTATTCTAATCTTAACTATTGAAATACAGTATACCCCCCCATTAACCCCTTTTTATTTTTTTGATTTATGTTTTTGGAGTTAGAGTGAAACTTTTTAATATCACACGTTCATCTTTTGTTTAGAAAAATGATTATTGTCAAATAAGCAAAAATAAATATTGCTGTAGTGCATAAAAATTTTTGCTTAAAAAGGCTGGGTAAACAGTTTTTTTAAAAAAAATCAATGTCATAAAACCCAAATCTCTCTTGTTTTTTGGGATCCTTTTTTGGAATGATGGCAGCTGAAAAAAAAAAAAAAATTTATTGAAGAGTATAATAAGCAAAACCACAAAAAAAAGCTTAGAAAAAACATACCCCTTTGCTTAATACCTGGTTAGTCTGACTGGATTTGATCCAATCAGATGTTTGCGAAAAATTTTGTAATACTTTCAATAATTATTTAAAAATCCCGGATTATTTTTAAATTATGACACACGCCCCCAAAAACTTATTTTTACTTTTTATTATATGAACTCAAAAAACCTTTGTTTTTTAAAAAAATTTTTTTTTTTAAACTTCAGCCATTTTTCCCCTAGGGAGGGTTAACAAAAATTTTCCTACTTGTGATTGAGAAAAAAATTTTAATTCCAGTTATTGTGATAAAAAACCACTATACCAGTGTTGGGTTTTAGAAAATAAAAACAATAGCACAATAACTTAATTTTATTGCATATTTAAGTTAAAGTAGAAATTAATAATTTTTTAATTTTAATACCAATAATTTATGTTTTATTTTTGTTGATCATGGTTGAAACTAAACCCAAAAGGGGTCTACAGCATTCAGTGGGAGCATTCAGGTTGAAGACCCCCCCCCCCCCCCAAAAAAAAAAAAAAAAAAAAAAAATAATAAGGATGCAGGCCAGTTTTTTGGGGCTACATTACTGCCTTTTAAAGACACAAGGGGGCCTTCTGAGAAAAGATAATTCAGAAAGGATTTTTTTTTCCCCAAAATTTTGGCTTTTTTTTTGTACACACATCTCCAAGGATCTCTAAGCTACTTTTTTAGCTATTTTAAATTTTGGACTAGTATTTTTTTGCTCCAAGGCTTTGCTAAAGCTTGAAGCTAAAAGCAAACAACCCCATTTAAGCCTATGGAGCTATTTGGGGGCATAGTTTACATTTTAAATATGTGATGTACAGTATTTATAGGTATACACTTTGGTTAACATCTTCAGGTTAGAAACTACTATCCTCAGCTTTGAGTTTTTTTCATAATGGCATTTAGGCCATAGCTCCAATGAGCATGGGAATTTAGAAAACTGCCTTGTTCCTCAATTACAACTCCTTTGGGTGTCTTGAATCAAGCCCAAAGTACAGCCATTCTAAGCAATCCAGAGTAGGCACACAGTCCAAGAATCTCTTCAAACATGAGCAAAGGAACATAAGAACATAGGAAAGGAGGAACACTGCAGGAGGCCTGCTGGCCCATACTAGGCAGGTCCTTTACAATTCATCCCACTAACAAAACATTTGCCCAATCCAATTTTCAATGCCACCCAAGAAATAAGCTCTGATGTGAAAGTCCCACTCAGATCCAACCCCTCCCACTCATGTACTTATCCAACCTAGATTTGAAACTACCCAAAGTCCCAGCCTCAATAACCCAACTAGGTAGACTGTTTCACTCATTATTTACTACTGATGATCTTTGTTGAGCTGCCAACATAATTTTAAAAAATACCCAAAAAGAAAAAGAGCTGGGACTTAAAATTTAGAATTTAACGAGATATGAGATGCTTAAGGAAAATGGTACATTATAAGCTAGGACCAGATGGCATGAGAAGTTAAAATTTTGAACATACCACACACACACATACAAACAGCCATCTAAACAATTTAAACAAAAAGATTAATAAAACTCTGAAGTTGAATATTTCACATTTATAAGATTTTTTTTTTTTTTTGTAAAAATTTATATCACAGGTGCCTAGAGAAATTAAATATGGTGGAACCTCAGTATGCGACCTTAACCCTTTCAGGGTTTTTGACGTACTAGTACGGCTTCCTCACCAGGGTTATTGACATAATAGTATGCCTAAATTCTAGCGCCTTCAAATCTAGCGAGAGAAAGCTGGTTGGCCTACATACGAAAGAATAGGTCTATGTGGTCAGTGTGCGCAGTTTAAAAAAATCCTACAGCACACAGTGCGTAAAGAGAGAGAAAAAAAAACTTTGACCGTGTTTTTGGATTAAAACAGCGGCTTTGCACTGTATTTTCGTATGGTATTTATGGTTGTATTCTAGTTTTCCTGGTCTCATTTTATAGAATGGAAGGCATATTACAGAAATTGAGATGATTTTGACTGGTTTCACAATGAACAGTACCTTGAAATTGAGCTCAAAGTAGCAGAAATGTTCGATTTTTACCAAAGTTCAAAAGTAAACAAATCACGCCAAGCGTCCAATACACGTCAACTGATGAGTCTAATATTCTTTCACAAGTGCGCTGATATTATTTATACCATTTCTACACTAATGCAGTAGTCTGCATAACAGTAAATCTTCTATTTTTTGTAAGAATAAAAATTCAAAGTGGAAAGCAAAAGAAATATAAGAGGGGCCTGGGGACGTGACTAATGAACAGAGAACTTGTTATTTTAGTGCCAGGAATCTCTCTCTTGTTTATTCTGGACCCTATTTGGAAATTGGCATCTTCTGAAATTTGTGAAATTGGCAAAGTTGCCAACTTCTAACCACTTTATTGGATAGTTGAAATTGATAAATGGGTGGTTTCTTGTACTCATTCGATAGAAAAAATGGAATTCTAGTGAAATAAGTATGATTTTGTCGACTAGCACACAGGAATTGGCCAACAATAGGGCTCAAAGTGGGCGGAATCACCGATGCGTAAACATTGGCGAGACCGCTAACTTCACAAGAGCATAATTCCGTAAGTTTTCCATCACATTTCATACTTTTGGTGTCATTATGATCGGGAAAAGATTCTCTATCATTTCTTAAGAAAAAATAATTTTTTTTTTCTGAAAAATTTTGACCCTGAGAACAAGTTTAGGAGAGGGCTTCTCGGCCCTGAAAGGGCTAATTCATTCCAGAAGGCTGTTCGAGTGCTGCTCTGTTTGAGCATCGAACAAGTTCTTCCCAACCAATTTTCTATTTGGTTGGCTGTTATCACTAATCTTCATAGGCCCCATGGTGATTTATTTATACAAATAATACAAAAAGACACCAAAAATGCAAGGAAATGCGAAATACTTTATAGCTAAGTTCTGACAGGTCGTATTTGTTTGGTCGAGTGCTGAGCTTTGTTAGAGTAGGGAGCTAGTCGTATACCGAGGTTCCACTGTAATTGTTGATAATAACTGTAATGTCAAGTGATTATTAATACTATCTTGTGAATAAACGAAGAAACTCATTTATCACTTACCAATAGTTGACCATGTTGCTGATGAAGATGCATCATTAATGGGATCTATAACTGGTTGGCGTCGAGCAAGTGAAACTTTCAGCTGAATACCAGACACCATACTGCCGTTCATCTGTTAATGAGAAAAAGCAAACTCCAAGTCTCCTGACATGATTTTGTTGAAATATGAGCTTGTGCACTCTACTGTATTTGTAATATCCAAATAGCCAAGAGGATCATTTATTCTTTTATCAGTGGCAGAGAGACTTAAGTTTAAGTTAAAGGCTGTGCATACTTGTAAAGCATGCCAACAAAGATATGAAGAGAAACATCATACAAAGAAAAGTCTTCAATGTAAACAACATTTTGCTCTGAATGAGCTTCATCAAGTTTATTAAAAGATGCAAAAACAAAAGCTTATATACCCTGTTGCAAACTATTTTACGTGTTCCACATTTTCAACTAAGAAGTGAAAACTAAAGGAACATCTACATATGCCTCCATGTAAGAAATGACTGGTCATATGTAGTGTAGCAGCCATATGCATGTATTAATTATACAAGTATTAAAATTTTAAAAATAAATTTGAAGGTGTTTCTTTAATTTAAACACCAAGGCAAAATGTTGTTAATCATATATATAAGGATGCTCTATAAGTAGCAAATTTTCTTATACAATGCCAACAAACCTAGAGAAGAAAACACTCCATCCAAAATTTTACACAATTTTAAATTTAATCAACCCGTCTAACACATTCTTTCTACAAGATGATATTTACTGTGCAATTCCTTTCTCTGGTACGAGTCACAAACTTGGTCTAAATTTATCTCATTTACTGAAACTCCTGCTGATCACCAGCTTATCCTGAGAGCTCTTATCTTGAATACTACTGGTATTATTATTATTATTTTCAGTATTATTATTGTAGATGAATGGTTCAGAGAACCGACATGTTGTTGAATTAAACACATGTGCAACTCTTGGGTATCTTTATTGAGGAAACGTTTCGCCACACAGTGGCTTCATCAGTCCATACTAAGGAGAAACTTGAAGAACAGGAGTAGAATGAGGTAATCAGTCCCTCAGCCTTGAGTCGATGTGGTCAGTCCATCAATCTTAAATAGAATACGGTATATGTTCTTCAAGTTTCTCCTTTGTATGGACTGATGAAGCCACAATAAAGATACCCAAAAGTTGCACATGTGTCTAATTCAACAACATGTCAGTTCTCTGAACCATTCATCTACAATCCTGTCAGACACTGCAACTTCTTGGGATCTTAATACTTGGGAATTCTTCACTTGCCTAACCCTTGGGCACGACCTACTTCCACATTGGACAAATGTGACACCACCTACGACTGCTGCCCCTCACCTGTCTACGGTTTATAAGCTGCTTCTCCACTCATATACCGTATTCTATTCAAGATTGATGGACTGACCACATCGACTCAAGGCTGAGGGACTGATTACCTCATTCTACTCCTGTTCTTCAAGTTTCTCCTTTGTATGGACTGATGAAGCCACTGTGTGGCGAAACATTTCCTCAATAAAGATACCCAAGAGTTGCACATGTGTCTAATTCAACAGTATTATTATTATTAATATTTATTTATTTACTGTTAACTCAACAGCCATCTCCCACTAGATGATCAAGCCCCTAAAACTCAGATTCTTTTATACCCTTCCTCCAACTGTTACTGGGGTTGCCCCTACCCCTCCAACCCCAGGTTTATTCACCCTCTTCATCCATCCTCTCTACATGCCCTAATCACCTCAATAACCCATACTCAGTCCTCTGAATTATACCCTTGATGACCCCACATCACCTTTTAATTTCTATTCTCAGAATTATCTAATACTGTATTGTTATATTAACAAAGAATCATGAGACCTATGTGGGTGCTTTTATTTTTATCATCAACTCTTAAAACAATCTCTCATGCAATACAATTTAGTACACACTTTTGATCACTCCTAGAACCTTCATGTTTGCAATTCACAGGTAACTCCAGATTTTGAAAAAAAAAAAAAAAAAATTCTTGATGCAATTCAGAGGAAAGCTGTCTGTCTTGTCAGTTCTCATAACTTTACTTCTACTAAACTTCTGTCATTAGCCTCCTGCCAAAAAATTACAAGTCTCTTCTCTCACTACTTCTGTATTGATTGTTTATAATTATTTACAACTTGTATACCACCCCCTTCATGCATATCCAGTCATATCCTATCCCTACTAAAGGAATGGTAGGGATATCATGTTTTGGTGGATCACTGGAACTGTGATGTCTGTGCTCTTCTGGAAAGACAGCTAGGGACTGAAGAATGGTGAATATTTTTTTTCTTTCTTTGAGTCACCATACCTTGCTGGGAAATGACCAACGAGTTAAAATAGATGAATGATATGTATCGTTGGAGTGGTATAAGAACATTATTATTAGTCTGTCAAAACAGTGATAGTGTGAATGACTGTGAAAGTATTTCTTTTTCAGGTCACCCTGCCTCAGTGGGAGACAGCCAGCATGTTAAAAAAAAAATGGTCTCGTATAATGGTATATACGTGCTGTACTGTACTAAGTTAGAAGAATGATGACAGTATGCATGTAATTTAACATTCACTATGAGTAAAGTTTTTTTTATAGTAAATGTTAATAATATGCCTATGTTAAATTCCAAACAGAATAAATATTTTTACTTACATCAGCAATTGCCTTTTCTGCAGATTCCACTTTATCAAATGTAACAAAGCCACAACTGCAATAAAAATATATTATGAATAAAATATAAAGATTTTATTTGGGATATTAACCTGAAAGGTTATTAAGGACCCATTGGGATCCTTTGATCCTCTTCCCTATGACTTAACCAATAAATCAGTTAACATCTAGGTACCTAGTTACTGCTAGGTAAACATGAACAACTGCAATGAAGCATTCAATATGTTTCCACTGGTGATGGGATCAAGCTCGAGTTCTGTAGATATAAACCGACAGCGCTATCATTTGAACCACAAGCTATATGACAATAGCAGTACAGTAAATATTTTTATCTTAAAACAAAGCTATGAATTGTTAGATTTTTATATAGAATGCTCAGCCAGAATTATTTACTGGTGTCGAGAAATGAATCGAAGTTGGTTTCAATAATCTCATGGGAAGCCCTAAACTATTTGTGAATCATTCAGCATTACAGAGTGAGGGGTGAAGATGATGGTGGGAGAAAGGCAGATGTGTCGAGGCAAGGAGAAAAGCAGAAATGAAGGGAAATAAAATTTAAAAATATTAGAGAAACAATCTACATTAATTAACGGTAGGACTGTTGGAGAAGGCAGACAAAGTAAGCATGTCAGGGTGTTAAAGGTGTCTGAAGGGAAGTTAGAGTACTCCCAGATAAATCAGAGCTATTCTGCAGTTATTTGTCAGCTTTTGACATGCTCTGAGTCACAACCACAATATTAGCCTTAGATAAACTAACTTGCAATATATTATTAGATACTGTCTGCACATGGAAGTATAAGTGGAGTTAATATGCAAAAGAAAATTTAATTTTACTTTTGTCGTCTAAACTGAAATTCTGTTATGGTTTGTCAAATCAATTGGAAGACTGAAAAAATTTACTGCCATGGATTTTTCTGCCTCTCTATATCATAGAGTTAATTCCAATTTAAGTTTTCAAACATTATATTTTGGTAAATTTTAAAATATTTTCATATTAATATTTTTGTGCCCTATGCAAATTATGCATAGGGCACAAAAGACAATATGATGTCATTGCAAGATACAGTAAATACATCAGCAGACATCAGAAATACTGTGTGTGTGCACTATTGTATGCTTAAAGCACATTCTGTCACATGAAAATCACACTCATGCTTAAAAATAATTATACGATTATACTATGAGGAAACTAGTCTTAAAATCAGCTACCAATTACTAGATTGCACATTTAGATTTGTATTTTTTTTTTTCAACAAGTCGGCCGTCTCCCACCGAGGCAGGGTGACCCAAAAAAGAAAGAAAATCCCCAAAAAGAAAATACTTTCATCATCATTCAACACTTTCACCACACTCACACATTATCACTGCTTTTGCAGAGGTGCTCAGAATACAACAGTTTAGAAGCATATACGTATAAAGATACACAACATATCCCTCCAAACTGCCAATATCCCAAACCCCTCCTTTAAAGTGCAGGCATTGTACTTCCCATTTCCAGGACTCAAGTCCGACTATATGAAAATAACCGGTTTCCCTGAATCCCTTCACTAAATATTACCCTGCTCACACTCCAACAGATCGTCAGGTCCCAAGTATCATTCATCTCCATTCACTCCTATCTAACACGCTCATGCACGCTTGCTGGAAGTCCAAGCCCCTCGCCCACAAAACCTCCTTTACCCCCTCTTTCCAACCCTTTCAAGGACGATCCCTACCCCTCTTTCCTTCCCCTATAGATTTATATGCTTTCCATGTCATTCTACTTTGATCCATTCTCTCTAAATGACCAAACCACCTCAACAACCCCTCTTCTGCCCTCTGACTAATGCTTTTATTAACTCCACACCTTCTCCTAATTTTGTATAGAGCTTAAACACTTAAAAGCAATCATGCTTTTCCTGTAGGCAAGTGTTGTAAGCTTATGCATGATGTAGCCATCTAATGTATTTTTTATAAATATTTATTAAAGGTGATACACTATACCTGAGGGTCATTCAGTGCTGAATGGCATAGAATACACATTAGATACAAGTGAGTAGCAGGTGTAAAACACACAGCAATTAGAAGGGAAAGTGAGATAGAGCAAGAATGTAGTAATTAAAGATGAAAAAATGCACTTTCAGTGCAGGATGTTACAGAACAAAAGGCCATCTGAACAATGATGTCAGCACACTTCTGACAAGACAGCATTTGAATGAGTGACAGTGAATGTGGTTCCTCTTTGAATCAACTTACCTCAGTGGGAGATAGTCAGTGTGTTAAAATAAAATGCAGTAGTCTCCGATGAAAGAAGAGAGAGCATTCACAACAGAGATGGCACTTTCAAAAAAAGATGACTGATAAAAGTATGCACAGCAGTGCTTAAAAAATGGTACGTACATATATCAAGATGATGTACTCTGTTATACAGCACTATACCAAGGTATGCTGGAAGGTTACTATGACCTGGTCACCTCACACAGAAGAACAGGGAGCACATTCATGAGCTAACCATGGTAAGGGGTTTTGTCAGTTCTGCATAAAGCACAGTCCTAAGCTTTCACAAGCTGTTGTTCATTGGATTTCTCAAAGTCCATACGAGGTGACTAGTGGCATTGTTGGGCCAATGATGGAGTGAGTGTAGATGTAGATTTACAGAATTCAGCTTTCTAGTCATAAACATAGACTAACAATGCCACTAGTCACCTTGTATGCAATGGGAGAAATCCAATGAACAGCAGCTTGTGAAAAATAAGAGGCCTTTGAATCACTGAAAACTTGCAGAGGAATCTGCAGGGATTATGCCCATAGAGCTAAAATGCCTAGGGCTTTAGCAAAAGACACTGTTTTATGTTTACTAGATGTGACTGATCCAATACAATGTGAAGCACAAGAAGATAAGATGAAGAGAGATTAGAACATTTGCTTTCTAATTTTGGACAGTAATTCTTTTTATGTATTACTGCATCAGCTGTCTCCCATCAAAATTTCACATATTGGATTAAAACTTTATAAACATTTGTATGCATAATACAGCCTTTCCTCACTTAACGATGGAGTTCTGCTCTTAAGATCAAGTCAGTAAATGAATTTGTTGCTAAGCAAGGAGCATACTATAATAGTAGTGGGTTTGTGTCAGCCATCTTTGATATTGTTTTAATGTCACCTTTGCACGATTTATAACATTTTTAGTATACACTGGAACCTCATGCTTGGTAAACAAGTACATCCCTAAGTGAGGGGAGGCTGTACACTGTATTAAGCATACAAGTATGTATACAGCCTCTCCTCACTTAGCAATGTACTCGTTTACCGACAACTCAGACTTACGGCAGGCTCTCTGACCAGTATGCATACCTAAATAATGTATATTAGAGCTGATTTCCTCTATTCTGTTTGTTACAGAATACAGTACACTACTGTATAAACATTCAAAAATATACCAGAAATGTTATAAGTGATGCAAAGGTGACATTAAAACAATATCAAAGATGGCTGACACAAACTCACTACCATTATAGTGTGCTCCTCACCTAGTGACGAATTCATTTACCAACGTGGTCTTAGGAACGGAACTTTGTTGTTAAGTGAAGAGAGGCTGTAATACACTGTAATGGTAACGTACTTCTTATCTATCTCCATATTAACATTAACAATATTTCCAAAAGTCGAAAAAGCTTTCTTCAGGACTTCTTCTGATATATTGTACCCAAAGACATATATGGTATGTCCCTGCCGAGGTTTGCCATCTGCTCCTCTGCCATCACGTGTAAACTCTCCACGTTCCTCTCGGTCTCGAGCTGACACAAAGCTTTCATACAGGTTTTGCTGTAATATGAAAAAATGTCAATAATATAATCATTACACAAAATACTTAAAAACTTCTGACCGTATGCCGTATGAGGACTTATTAATGCGGAATTGTTATGTGCAGCAAGCCCTTTAATTAATAACTAGACAGGTAGCATCAATACATACTCCCAACAAGATGTGCAAAAATCTGAGATTATATTAATTATGTCAAGTAATGTAGTGACTTGCATGATGTGCAACAAATATGTAGTATAGTCAAACTTCCAAATTCATGGCCTAACAATGTCACACGTTTCAATCATCCAATATTTTTCTTATGGGGGTCTAATGCATTTTTTTTTTTTTTTTTTTTTTTTTTGCAATACCCATCTTGTTTGAGCTTGGAGCACAGCCTAAGTTAAAATTCTGAAGATTTCATTCAAAATTTACTGACTAGATTTCCCACACTTAAATTTCTTTTTTCACTGGACATTTTTTTTTTTTGGTGAATATAATTTTTTACAAAGCTAAAACAGTATTTAAATAGATATGGTCTCTGATGAATAAGACACCTGTGCAACACTTATGTAACTAATGCAAAAAGCTTCTTAGGTTAAATACAAAGACAACTTTTATACTGAGACACTGGAAAAAGTGAGAGAGGTCATTTTAAGGTGTTCAGTTTCTTAGCCTTGAAGAGCTGAAAGGTGTTCAGTCCCTTAACCCAAATCAGAGGCAAGGTGCAGCAGTTTTAGATGTCATCACAGGTGAGTGAGATCCACTAGCTGATATAGGTCAAACCAAAAAGCCTGCTGCATAGGCAAAACATTTTGGTTATAAAGATATGTAAATGTTGCATGTGTCTTATTCATCTGCATATCTGTATTGTATGCTATTAAGATATGCCTCTGAAATGAAAAATGAGCCCAAATTAGGGGGCAGCACTTGAGCAGTAATTTCCTTGTATTTTTGTTCTTACATTTCAAAGTCTATTTTTTTCCAGAAATATATCTCAATTTATATAATGAAAGTCTATAGATAAACGTGAGTCACTTTACTGAGTCCATTTGTATTTTTCTTCACTGTATAACCTCATAACTCGTATATGTTCCTTTTTTCTATTATCTTATAATTTACATACATTTTTTAAAAGCTATCCCTTCATAGCTACTAATAATGCATGCATATCTCAACCTGTACATTTTAATAGTCTGACTTATTTACCGTACAGTTCCATAACCACCTTTGGCAAATTCTCTAAGACTTGGAGACAAATGGTATATAATACTGGCATGATGGAAAAAAAAAGTCATAAGTACAGTATAATGCAATCCTTTATTAACAATGGTTTGCCCACACAGTGGGCAAAACATTGTCGATAAAGGATTGCATTATACTGCATTTATGTCACATTTTCTCTAAAGCTTACCTTAACCTTCACTCTAGATTCATGAATTTCCTCTTCTGGATGTGTAGTAGAGAATGGCTGGTACCCAGATGGAGCTTTATCAGCTGCTGATAACTTTCGTTCCAGTCCCTATCAAAATATATGCACATAAAAAGTGGTGGTATTATTGCAGTAATATATTTCTGGGAAAGCGGAAAACAAGTATGTACTGTAATGCTCATGTAATGACTGACAAATGGGAGATATTTAGGTTTATCCCAAGGAAGCAGCGGATATCTCCAATTTGTTGAATCAAGCTCCCTTTATCAACATTAAGGCACCCCCCACTGAGTGAATGAAGTGATGTAAATGTAAGTACAGTGGACCCCCGCATAACGATCACCTCCGAATGCGACCAATTATGTAAGTGTATTTATGTAAGTGCGTTTGTACGTGTATGTTTGGGGGTCTGAAATGGACTAATCTACTTTACAATATTCCTTATGGGAACAAATTCGGTCACTACTGGCACCTGAACATACTTCTGGAGTGAAAAAATATCGTTAACCGGGGGTCCACTATACTGCTATGTCCATGTCTTTAATGGTATTCCTCCCTTCATACCATCAGCTACAGTTCTATACTATTATTATAAAATCTGGTCACTTTCTATACATTAAAGTCTGTAAATATTGTGTAAATGCCACCAGGATTTTTTCTTTTCTGTACTAATAAAGCAAAAATATCATTAGATCATATACACTGTAAATGAAAGTGTGAGAAATGGTAATGCTACACTGGCTGATTATAAAACAGCTTTCAAATATATGGACAGAGATATGAAACTGCTGTGTGGTGTCCAGACAAAACACACGTTGATCAAATAGAAAAAAGCCCAAAGAACTTCAAAACACAATACATATATCCCCGAGCTAAAAAAAAAAAAAAAAAAAAAAAAAAAAACTGAGGAAAGGCTGAAAGCACAAAATATCCATCCTGTGCAACAGGAGAATGAGAAACTATGAAAGAAGTATTTAGATTCTTCAACAGGAATATGAGGACATATAATAAAAACAAAGTTGAAGGGAAACTGGAAATTTTTCCTTGACAAAATAGAGGTAGAAATTAATAAATTAAAAAAAGAAAAAAAAGAGGTAACATACAAGTGCTACAACCACTGGAAATATTTTTTTTTTTTTTTAAATTGAGGAGGGCCCTGCTTTACAGTGCTTCACTTTATAGTGGTTTGCTAATACAGCAGTTTTCAATCATACCCATTCTTCATTTATTCAGGCTACCTACAATAAATATATTCACTACTCACTATAAGCTAAGTACGAAAATATTTTAAGGTACCCTGCCTTGGTGGGAGACGGCCAACTTGTTGAAAAAAAAAAAAAGTAATATGTGTACTGTATATGTAGTACATGTATTACTTACTATTTCTCACTTAATATATGATAGTGTTAACATATTATCAGGCGGCTTTTATATGCATTTGAAAGTGAAAAAAGGCATGTTTCACTTTACAGTGATAGCTCAAATCCTAACCTGCTGTATAAGCAGAACCCTCTTGTACTGTATGATGAACATATTAATGAAACTGCTCTTGTAGCTACAAATGAATAAGCAATTACAAATAATTATCATAAATCATTCATCTTTTAACAGTTTCATTGATTCAGATGTTTTCAAGGCTAACTATTTAAGTGATTATTCAGTCATCTGCTATCTTGGAAACTGCTAGTGTTATATGTATTTAAAAAGGTTTAACCCGTTCAGGGTCCACAGGCCCTCTCAGACTTGTTCTCAGGGTCCTCCAAATTTAAAAAAAAAAAAAAAAAATTTTTTACTTTTGAAAAGATAGAGAATCTTTTTCCGATCATAATGACACCAAAAGTATGAAATTTGATGGAAAACTTACGGAATTATGCTCTTGCGAAGTTAGCGGTCTCAACGATGTTTACGCATCGGCGATTTTGTCCACTTTGAGCCCTATTTTCAGCCAATTCCAGTGTACTAGTCGACAAAAGTCATACCTATTTCGCTAGAACTCCATTTTTTCTATCGAATGAGTACAAGAAACCACCCATTTACCGATTTCAACTATCCAATACAGTGGTCAGAATTTAGCAATTTTGCCAATTTCACACAAATTTCAAAAGATGCCAATTTCCAAATAGGGTCCAGAATAAACAAGAAAGACATTCCTGGCATTAAAATAACATTTCCTCTGTTCATTAGTCACATCCCCACGCCCCTCTTACATTCTTTTGCTTTCCATTTTGAATTTTTATTCTCACAAAAAATTGAAGATTTACTGTTATGCAGACTACTGCATTAGTGTAGAAATGGTATAAATAATATCAGAGCACTTGTGAAAGAATATTAGACTCACCAGTTGACGTCTATTGGACGCTTAGCATGATTTGTTTACTTTTGAACTTTGGTAAAAATCGAACATTTCTGCTACTTTGAGCTCAATTTCAAGGTACTTTTCATTGTAAAGCCAGTCAAAATCATCTCAATTTCTGTAATATGTTTACCATTCTATCAAATGAGACCAGGAAAACTAGAATACAACAATAAATACCCTACGAAAATACAGTGCAAAGTCGCTGTTTTAATCCAAAAACACGGTCAAAGTTTTTTTTTTCCTCATTACACACTGTGTGCTGCAGTATTTTTTTTATACTGCGCATACTGACCACATAGACTCATTCTTTCATATGTAGGCCTACCAGCTTTCTCTCACTAGATTTGAAGGTGCAAGAATTTATGAGTACTAGTACGTCAAGGACCCTGGCACATAAGCCGTACTAGTATGGCCGAAACCCTGAAAGGGTTAATAAAGAAAGCACTTGATGGAAGTTCATGCACATGGTAACATTTCTTGATATTTAGTCAAACAAGTTCACTTGTTTAGGACCTAGAAAAGCATACTCTTGGGCATAATGCACCAATAACTTGGCTAATTGCTAAAAACAATAAAGGATAAGTGAATTAAATTAGCAACATTATATAATACATACTTGTTAATCATCATGTTATTAGGACTTCCTATGCCATGAAGACAAAGTTTACTTACCATTGATCGTTTAAAAGTGGTCTTCTCAGTAGCTGCCTGTGGTCTTTCAGGTACTTTAATAGCTCCAGATTTTATTAGTTTCTTTGCCATTTCTTTTGCATCCTTTGCCTCCATTGGTCGCTTCAGTGGAACAAGTGGCTCGGGTTCTTGCTTTGGTGCTTTCAGAGCATGCAATGCTTTTTTCTGGAAATGTAAGGAAATGTATAATGAATAAAAAAAAAAACAAGAAAAATATTAAAACATTAATGAAACATCAATAAGTTAAAATATTAATCTATCGTAATATTTAGCACAAGAAATGGTTAAGTTTTTCCGTGACTGAACTACAGTATCATCAATTTCATCTAAAACAAAAAGAGTGCACCTCAGTGGAATGAGGATAGGGGGTAAACTGTAGACACAAAAAACTTTTATTATATTGGCTGTGCTGAAAAAGAATTTAAATCAAGATCAGAACAAGAGAAAGAGGAAGAAAAATCACATTAGTGAGATTACAAAGCACTTAACAAATTTCAGTTTTCAAGACCATTTTTTTTATTTTATTTTATTTATTTAATGTCTTTGCAAACAGTACATTGAGATTGTGTATATACAATAGTGGGTTGCAATGCAGAGAGAGCCTCTATTATGCCTAGGCATTATGGGCCAACTTAACATTATTGGCTTACATTCTACTTAATACTAAGGAGTAGTATAACATAGTTGTACAGTAGGAAAATAATTACAGTGGACCCCCGCATAACGATCACCTCTGAATGCGACCAATTATGTAAGTGTATTTATGTAAGTGCGTTTGTACGTGTATGTTTGGGGGTCTGAAATGGACTAATCTACTTCACAATATTCCTTATGGGAACAAATTCGGTCACTACTGGCACCTGAACATACTTCTGGAGTGAAAAAATATCGTTAACCGGGGGTCCACTGTATTTCATAATTGTACAGTAGAATATTAATTATAAATGAATCAAAATTTGTATAATACAAAGATATATTTATATTCTAAAATGCTTTTGTGAAAAACAATGATTCAATTATATTCCTGTCAACAATGGATAAAAGGTTCAATGTGATTGTTTCAGTTATGATATGGGAGTACATAGGTGAGTAAATGTGTACTGAGTATTTAGCATTTAGTCTAGGGTGATTTAAGTGGCTTTTGAGAAGTCTTAAATTGATTTTCAGATGGGGTTACTTTAATATCTTCTGGTAATGAATCCCTTATTTTGGGGCCCTTTAAGTGCATAGAGTTTTTACACAGTGTGATATGGACACGAGGTATATCAAAAAGAGATCTGTGTCTTGTGTTGAGGTCATGTGTCCTGTTTAGGTTGGTGAGGAAAAGTTTGAGTAGGGGGGTTATATTTGCATGTATTGTTCTGTGTATGTAGTAGGCACATGAATAAGTATGGATGTTCTTAATGGTAAGCAGATTCAGACTTTTGAAAATTGGTAGAGTATGCTGGCGGGAGTGGGAATTTGTTATCATTCTTACTGCTGCCTTTTGCTGAGTTATTAGGGGTTTTAGGTGATTGGATGTTGTTGATCCCCATGCACCAATTCCATATGTAAGATAAGGGTATATGATTCCATATGTAAGATAAGGGTATATGAGTGAATGGTACAGTGCCAGGAGAGCTGATTGTGGAACGTAGTACCTTATCTTTGATAGTATGCCTACAGTCTTGGAGATTTTCTTGGTGATTTGTTGTATTTGTTATATAGCATATAGTTATATAGCATATGTTATGCAGCAGGATATAGGAGAATTAGAAAATGTGAAAAAGATAAAAGCAAGGCACAGGATAAGCAAAGAAAGAATTGCTGAATAAAGCCAGTGACAGAGTTTGAAAGCTACAAGAACATATAAATTAGACATTTTTCAAAAGAGGACATGGTAAAAAAGAGGAATTAACAAACACTGTCGAGAGGTTAAATTAGGCTAAAAGTGAAGAAGAAAACAAAGATTTAATTTAATTGAGGAACAGGTGTATGCTATCCTGTCCAATAGTTTCTTGAAGAAACAAACACAGGATAGTTAGCAACCACACTAAAATAAATTAAGATTAAAAGGAAAACAGAGAAACAAATATGTATAGATGGAGTAATTAAAAAAAAAAAAACGAGACCTAAGGGACACTATACAGTACATGAGAAAGAACCTGATATATTATTTTGGAAAGGCATATTTTAAACAAGGTTGCATTTAATGAAAATGATTGTACGTACTCATTATGGTGAAGAGACATTGGGCAAGAAAGGCAGGATTTTGGCCATATTTGTAAAGGAAACTATACAAGCTTCATAAATTAAAAGGGACTACTGTACATAGTAGCAAAGAAAATAACAGTTAATACCAAGTTAGGGGGTTTTGAGATCACTAATAACTTACTTTGCAAATTCTCAAATATGAAGTGGAGGAAGACCCACTGATTGGTTCACAAAAAGAGTAGCCTAGCTGAATCTAGATTTAGAGGTGAATTCTAGGCAAGGTGATAGAATCACTATTAAATCTTACTTAAATGCTTTATCAATTATATAACTGATTGTAAAAAATTATGATTTATTGTCATAACTATAATTCTGTCACTCCATAAATTGTACCTCATTGATCTGTAATATATATTAATTTAAATTATCTGTAATTGTCTAATACATCATTTGCAACCTGTTTTCATTGTGTTCAAGTTAAAATTCCTTTTCAACAGCCAGCTTCATCTTACTACCTTTTTTGAATCTCAACCACCTTATGGTAGGAATGAATTAATTTTGTTGTACTGCAACACATTGCCTAAAATTACATGCTAAGACTAAAATTAAATAACTTGTAAGTTTTACGGTTAGTTTGCGCAAAATGATTTGCATATTAAGTGGCTTTCTTTAGAACATGCAAATGTATTGAATTATACTTGTATCATAATTGTAATATAGTAGTAACCAAACTAACTGTGAACACAATAGTTGTAATATCTTCTTAAAAAAGAAAATAACTCGAGCCCCCAAACTCAATATTAACCCATATGACTGCTGACAACTTTGGGGGAACAGATATGAATGAATTCATTTAGAACACCTTTGTTGAAGACGTTTCTGTCCTTGACGTCAGCTAGGCCGGTATACCTTGTACATGTACTTGTAGAAATAAAAGATTATTGTTATTATAAGTGATCAAAGTTCAACGACTGAAACATCTACAATAGATATCCTAAGTGAAATCATTTGTGTTTATGTCCACCAGACTGCCATATGTACGAATAATCTCAAGTCTGTTTAATTTTTATCCTGACCTTTCTTCGTAACTTTTGATATTTAGCTTGTAGCATCTGTTCTTCCTCGGTAAGATTACTTGGAAAATGTAAGTACACCATTATGAAATTGTTTTTTGCCGTAGCTGTATCAGTAGTTTAATTATTCCTGAGCTGTTCCCAATAACATATCACTGTGATTGGCATTAATAGTGCTCCAGCTGTGCCTTAGCAGACTTTTTTAACGATAAAATTTCGTAAGATTATTTTCACGATTTTTTTTATGATACGGGCAGTTTACTCAGGTGCTTGTTGTTGGGTTTATAAGGGCCACTTACAGCTTACGATGTATCGAGCCCTGTTTCCCGGTGTACAGAGAAGAGCTATTGTCCAAAACTGGGTGATGAAAGAAAAAGGAACAAGAGCCCCTTTGTAAATAGAAACAGAAACTAGAATTTCCCAGATAGACCAAGTGGAATCCCCTCTTCAAGCTCCAGGAAACCAAGACGTTCACACACTCACCTGAGTTCAACAACCGGCTTCCCACCAAAACCGTTAAAGAATTATCCGCAAAGCTGCAAAATGGAACTAAGCATTGGACAAAGGAAGATAAGGATAGGCGTCCTAGAAAGTACGGGGAAAATTTGTCACTGATGCTTAGACGAAAGCGAGATGTCCACACTCAACGAAGATTTATCCTTGTTTTGGATTTATAGGGCCAGTGAAAGCTTGCTCGGTATCAAGTCCTGATTCCGAAGTCGGGTAGTGAAAGGGGAAACACGTCCCTTGACTATAGAAACTAACGGGAAGTTCTTAATGTATGCTATAGATATACTATACTTTTTTTCATTGTTGGAGGATTTATATTATTATTATTATAATAAAAAAGAATGGAGGATTTATAGAGCACAACAGCTTACGCCGTATTGATCCCTGCTTCCCGGTTTCTGAGAAATACATACCCCTCAAGGAAGGCTCCTTGACGCTGGTGAGGGGATCTTGATCTAGGGAATTGGATCTGTGCTCCAGTTCCCTGAATTAAGCCTGAATGCCTTCCATCCCCCCATAGGCGCTGTATAATCCTACGGGTTTAGTGCTTCCCCCTTGATTATAATAATAATAATAATGAGAAATACATTCGATGGTCACTAATAGGTACACCCTCATTATTATAATTAAAGCTAAGTGCCAAACCCACCAGGGTCATACAGCACTGCATCTCTCTCTTGAACTGGGTAGAGCATCCCATACAGCACTGCACATCGCTCTTGTACTGGGTAGAGCCCCTTTTTTTCCACTTTGTTCTCAGAAGAGTGAATTCTTCATGACGGATTCAACAAAGTGCTGGATAAAGTAAGATAAGATTTTCTTCAGATTTTTAACCCCGGAGGGTTAACCACCCAGGATAACCCAAGAAAATCAGTGCGTCATCGAGGACTGTCTAACTTATTTCCATTGGGGTCCTCAATCTTGTCCCCCAGGATGCGACCAGTTAACTAACACCCAGGTACCTATTTACTGCTAGGTGAATATGACAACAGGTGTAAGGAAACACGTCAAAATGTTTCCACCCCACTGGGAATCGAACCTGGGCCCTCCATGTATGAAGCGAGAGCTTTAGCCACCAGGCTAAAGCTTAAGAGATCCTGGTCTTGTTGATTGTGCATTTATGCTGCGTATCACCTGTTCCACCACTTCCCAAAGGCTTATGATAAATTCCGACCCTAACATCTGCATGTTGCAGCAGAAATCGTGATTCATCAGTCCAGGCGATGATTTTCCAATCTTCGACTGTCCAATTTTGGTGAGACTGCCCACTGTCACCTCAGTTTCCTGTTCTTAGCAGATTAAGTGGAACCTGGTATGGTCTTCTGCTGCTATAGGTTATATCACATAGAAATAAGGAAATAAGGAAAGGATCCCAATGGAAATAAGTCACTGTCAGACTTTTTTTGGCTATCCTAGGTTCTCTACACATATGCTATGTATGATAATCTATGTAACTGTATTTGTGTATACTTGAATAAACTTACTTACCATAGTATATCAACAGGGCAAAACTAATAAGATATAATAATAATTACATTTATGGGAAAGAGCTAAACCAGCAGAGGTCATACACCAGGAGAGTTGGGAGTCAAGCAGATTCGATCCATGGTAGAAGGCAAGTCAAATTCCTATCAAGAGCCCTTCACCAGAATCAACGAACCTCCCTTGAGAGGACATTAGCAATACCTTTTCCTTTTCCAGCTCCCTTGGTAAGGGAGTTCTTCTGACAATGCCAGTTTTGTTACTGTTCATATGGCTCTGAGTGTCCAAAGCCTTTATCTGAAACTGTCTGTTATTTCGCTGGAGCTCTTTCCTTTATAGGGCAATCCCACTTAACCTTTCAATTGTCATAATGCCATAACAATGCATTTCAGTCCAAATTATAATAATCATGGGGGAAGCACTTTTTTCATAGTACGTAATTCTGAACAGATAAGGGTCATACAGCACTGATTAAAGAAAGGGTAGCTCCAATTCCTCAGATCAAGAGCCCTTCACTGGCCTTAAGGCACCTACCTAGAAAGGATGGGAAACAGCTAAACCCATAAGGATCATACAGCATCTGGGTAATAGGATCCAAGGAAAGGAAGAACAAGTGCATTTCCTTGGATCAAAGCTCACCAGCATCTGGAAACATCCCTGGATGAGATTATAATAATCATGGAAGCACTAAACCTATAGGAGTTATAGAGAGAGTGGGAGGCAATCAGATTCGATCCAAGGGAGAATAGGGTAATTTCCTTTGATAAAAAGCCTCTTGTCGGCATCAAGGCACCAAGGAAGAGGTCTAATATCTTGACTCAAAAGTTCCTCAGCAGGATCAAGGTGTGTACCTCTTCTTCAAGGAATTTCAACCTAAAGTACTACTGTACAGTACTCCACTAATAATGATTAAGTTATACAGTGGACCCCCGGTTAACGAACTTTTTTCATTCCAGTAGTATGTTCAGGTGCCAGTACTGACCGAATTTTTTCCCATAAGGAATATTGTGAAGTAGATTAGTCCATTTCAGACCCCCAAACATACACGTACAAACGCACTTACATAAATACACTTACATAATTGGTCGCATTTGGAGGTGATCGTTAAGCGGGGGTCCACTGTATTAAGAATCATCCCAAATACAGCACCCATAGTGGTTGTCAGTTTCAAAGCTGGTGTATCTTAATGGGGATGAAGGTTGAGTATTGTTGGGCTGTGTGGGAATAAAACTGCCAATTTTAATGAACAAATTTAAATGTTGGTTTATATGCTATAGCCTGAATAGTATTACTATTATATTTATGGGAAATGTTAAACTCATAAGGGGAATGGGGGTGTAAGCAAGCTTGATACAAAGGGGAGGACCCTAACCAGCATCCAGGAACCTTCCTTGAGAAGTTTTTGCTGTATTATTACATTCATGGGGCAAGTGCTAAACCCATAAGGGGTGTAGTTTCTGATCAGCTTAAAACTTTCAGCACTGATATATCCTGAATAAAGGAAGGTTTAGATTTACAGTGGACTGTTTGTACCAATTTTGTTTAAAATACAGTGGACCCCCGCATAACGATTACCTCCGAATGCGACCAATTATGTAAGTGTATTTATGTAAGTGCGTTTGTACGTGTATGTTTGGGGGTCTGAAATGGACTAATCTACTTCACAATATTTCTTATGGGAACAAATTCGGTCAGTACTGGCACCTGAACATACTTCTGGAGTGAAAAAATATCGTTAACCGGGGGTCCACTGTATACTACTTTGTTTCTGTGTAATAATTTGAAAGCCTTTTCTGAATCCCTACATTTCATGTAGCTAACCACAAGAAAGATTCAAATTAGTTTTAGGCTGTATAGGTACAAAATTTGCCAATTTATAACAATTATGACTGTCATCAAACTTTTAATGAGTTGGTGTATTTTCTTAAAAGGTTCAGCTGGGTTTAACTGCAAATGACATGGAGAGCATATAAGTCTGTAGGGGAAGGAAGGCGGGGTAGGGGTTGTCCTCAAAAAGGTTGGAGCGAGGGAGTAAAGGAGGTTTTGTGGGCGAGGGGCTTGGACTTCCAGCAAGCATGCGTGAGCATGTTAGATAGGAGTGAATGGAGACGAATGGTGTTTGGGACCTGACGAGCTGTTGGAGTGAGAGCAGGGTAATATTTAGTGAAGGATTCAGGGAAACCAGCTGTTTTTATATAGCTGGACTTGAGTACTGGAAATGGGAAGTACAATGCCTGCACTTTAAAGGAGGGGTTTGGGATATTGGCAGTTTGGAGGGATATGTCATATATCTTTATATATGCTTCTAAACTGTTGTATCTGGGTGCCTCTGCAAGCACAGTACTTACCTAGTTGAAGTTGCAGGGGTCGAGTCCAAGCTAATGGCCCAGATTATGAGTGAAAGTGTAGAATGATGCTGAAAGTATTTTCCTTTTGGGGATTTCTTTCTTTTTTGAGTCACCCTGCCTCAGTGGGAGACGACTGACTTGTTAAAAAAAAAAAAAAAAAAAAGTTTAAATTGAGGAAACCCATAGTGTAAAAAGACACTACATTTTGATCTTCTGAATTCTTCAGCAGCAAGAATGCTGCTTCTTATTGGATTCAAGCCTTCAATACTTGGGCATCTTACCTGAAGAGACATTTGGATTTGTACTGGGCTTTATAAGTGCTTATGTGCCTTTTTATTTTCAACTGGGGTATCATACCTACAGCACCCTTCTGAAGCACATTATATTTTGTTTAGTTTTTGTTAGCCATTTAAGACTGCATATTATATTCATGAAGTGCTAACCATCTTACCTCTACAATGAATTCAGAAAATTGAGTCATTTAATTATACCATTTAAAATGATGTATGACAAAAACATGTAAATTCTCACATTTCAAATTACTATATTTATGGAAAGGAGAGATACATTCATTATGGAAAGAAAGATACAGGACAAGGGAAGAGATTGAGGCCTATTTTGAGAAAACTGCCTCTACCAAGAAAAGACTAAACTTAAACTGAGACCATAGAGTTAGAGGATGTTTAACCTACTGTACTTTGGTGTACTTCTGATTATTATTATTTTGGTGTCCAGAAAAAGGATACCCTTCCCTCTTTCTCCCATTCCTGAAACACATTAAAAATTTGTCCTTAAATCATACATTGGGGCTTTACTACAAAATTACTACATAAGTTTTTTTTTAACAATGAAGAATAAAATCAATAAATACCATGGCTGGAACCATTAACTGTCCCACAAATTGGAAATGAAACAAGATGACACTTCATTCCATCCTAGACTATTATTAAGTCAGGAGTGCTTAAAAGCTTCATTCAAGTGTCAATCTCAAATTACAAGACAGAAACCAGTGTGGTACAAAAAAATTGAAACCCCATTAGATTATTATAATCCCAAAAAAGCATATAGGAAACTCATAAAGCACCCTGCTTCAGTGGGTATGTACTATGTAGAACTACTGTTAATATGTTACAATGCTAGTTATTCAAAAATCCTTGTATGTGAATGCAACAGAATATTAATAAAACTGCAAGCTCTACACAGCAACAGGAACCTTTAAACAATGAAAATTGCATACATTTTATTCTTTACTGGTTCCATAATATTCAAAACACTGGATTACTTTTTTTTCTTTCCCTTGCCCTGCTTTCCTTGTTGCTGCTGAGAATCCTGGTTATGTTTAGGGTTTGTTCTTGTTTTCAGTTGGGGAATCTTCTCTGCAGTGAAGAACATGACATCCTCACGAGATCTGAAATGTAAAATATTTGATGTAACAAAATAAAAAGCTGAAAATACAGTATTAAACTTCATTAGTGAATGTGGTAATCTATGCTTTGTGTTAGTTGAGTATTTTACTGTATAACCATATTCCTATCTCCACTCCCATTTAAAAATTGAACTGGCTCAATAATATCTTTTTAAGTTTAAGCTATTAGGCCATAATAAAATTAGTATGAAAATTAAACAGTACCTGAATCTGGGATTTATAGGTTCTCCGGTCTGATTCTTCAGTTGAACACGCACTCTGCCCCAATATATAGGTTCTTTGCTCTTTTCACGGCAGTAAATCTTGCGTTCACCCAGTACCTAAAAACAAAGATGAACAGGTTTGCTCAATTGTTCAAGTTTAGTGGGTGTACATAGTACATTTATGAATATATAATTAAATATTTCATGCAACATAAATTTTTTTTTCCCAATGACCAGTGCCCACCAAGGTATTTAAATTGTATATTTTTAAAATTGAATTAGAAATGTAGGATATTATAACCTCAGTTCAAAAAGGTACACGATACTTTGTAGTTTTTTTTTTTCTTTTTTTAGCATTCTGCATTGGGTAGCAAATAAAAAACTGGTACATCAAGTTTCTGCACTAGATATGTACTGGGAGTGAAATTTATATATCTTTTTTTTTTCTACTTGCCAAAATAATCTAAACATGTAAGAATTACAACTAAGCTTTAAAATTCTGAACACACTACATTCCCAGAAAAAATATAAAAAATTCATTACAATAAATAGAAATTTAATTTTTAATTACTCAAACCCAGTTTACTACTTTAAGGAGTGAATATAGCTTACCTGAAGGCCTGATGTAGAGAGCACATCTAGCATCTCCTTGCATGTGGGTGCTGATACTGCCTATAAAAGCAATGATGTACTGTACAGTAATACATTTAGTCAGTTTTGTACAAAAACTTTTTCTTGCCACCTACAGTGTCATAAATATTGTATGCACATGCACACACAAATCACAGAAAATGAGACTTCACCATACCCTATTGTTTTAAACATATAATACAGGAATAAGTAAGTGTTCCATGCCACAAAACTGATGTTGAATAAGTTTCCAAGTATTCTCTATCAGATCTAAGTCCAGTGAATTTCCAGGCCAGTCATTAAAGTATTGAAAAATCACAATTCAGTCAATTCTTTATGACTTTAGCAGTATGGAAAAGGTAACTATTTTTCATACAAAAGTTGCCCTAGCACTTCTTGAATCCATCAGGCAAATAGTCTGCTGAAGATATACTCATGGACATGCATATATTTATGATGCCTAATGTATAATAAACATGTATTATTATATTGTATTATTATATATTATGACAGTGGAACCCCGGTTTTCGTGTTTAATCCATTCCAGAAGGTTAGACGAAAACCAATTTGTATGAAAACCGAAGTAATATTTCCCACAAGAAATAGTGTAAACCCAATTAATCCATTCCAGACACCCAAAAATATTAACAAAAAATACATTTTATAGAGAATAACTATAGTTTTACATACAGAAAACAATGAGAAATATAAATGACTAATGAAATTGATAAATGAACATTTAACATCACTTTTACCTTTACTGAAGACTCTTGTTGGTGTATGGAAGATGGCAAGGAGGGGAGAGGGAGGAGAGGTTATTGTTTGGAAGGGGAATCCCCCTCAGGTATCAAAGCCCTATCTGGGGTTACTTCCCTTCTTTGTCTTTTACTGGCACTAGCACCAGCTTGAGAGCCACTGGACCCCTGTCGCACAAAAAATCTGTCCAGAGAGGCCTGTTTCTGGCATCTCTTTAAGATTTGCCTAAAATGGGACACGGCATTGTCATTGAACATGTTGCTGACATGGCTTGCAACAGCTTTGTTAGGGTGATATTTCTCCACAAAACTTTGCACCTCACTCCACTTTGAACAAATGTCCTTAATCACTGAAGGAGGACATTCTCCCCTCTCTCTTCCTCAGAGGCAATTTCCTCAGCTAAGGTCTGTTGCTGTTCCAGATAAAGGTCTTGCAGTTCTTCACTGGTTAGCTCTTCCCTGTGGTCATCCACCAACTCTTCCACATCCTGGCCACTCACTTCCAACCCCATGGACTTCCCCAAAGACAATACATTCCACAACAGGCGTAGGGTCGTCAGGATCAGTCTCAAACCCTTCAAAATCCTTCTGGCCCCATGATGGCTTATTTAGCAGTCACAAGCACAAAAACAATGGATTATTATGAAATGCTTCGAATGAACACAGAGTAATGTTCACTGAACGAGTAACAAAGGCAGACTGAGTCACGAACATATGAGCAGCCATGTCCCGCGGGCAGGCGGACGCATCTGGTACGGACAATTTCCGAGCACATGTACGAAAATGGGGAAAATTTCACCAAAAAGTCGTTGAAAACTGAATTGTATGGGGTTCCGCTGTATACTATATACGAATATAGCAAAAAACATAATTTATTCTTTTTAACCCTTTGAGGGTTTCGGCTGTACTAGTACGGCTTACGACCCAGGGTTTTTGACGTACTAGTACGCCTAAATTCTAGCGCCCTCAAATCTAGTGGGAGAAAGCTGGTAGGCCTACATATGAAAGAATGGGTCTATGTGGTCAGTGTGCACAGTATAAAAAAAATCCTGCAGCACACAGTGCATAACGAGAAAAAAAAAAACTTCAACCGTTTTTTTGAATAAAGCAGCGACTTTGCACTGTATTTTCGTATGGTATTTATTGTTGTATTCTAGTTTTCTTGGTCTCATTTTATAGAATGGAAGACATATTACAGAAATTGAGATGATTTTTGACTGGTTTTACAATGAAAAGTACCTTGAAATTGAGCTCAAAGTAGCAGAAATGTTCGATTTTTACCGAAGTTCAAAAGTAAACAAATCATGCCACGCATCCAATGCATGTCAACTGGTGAGTCTAATATTCTTTCGCAAGTGCGCTGATATTATTTATACCTTTTTTACACTAATGCAGTAGTCTGCATAACAGTAAATCTTCTATTTTTTGTGAGAATAAAAATTCAAAGTGGAAAGCAAAAGAATGTAAGAGGGGCCTTGAGACATGAATTAATGAACAGAGGAAATGTCATTTTAGTGCCAGGAATGTCTTTCTTGTTTATTCTAGACCCTATTCGGAAATTGGCATCTTTTGAAATTTGTGTGAAATTGGCAAAATTGCTAAATTCTGACCAATGTACTGGATAGTTGAAATCGGTAAATGGGTGGTTTCTTGCACTCATTCGATAGAAAAAATGGAGTTCTAGCGAAATATTCATGTTTTTTGTCGACTAGTACAGTGGAATTGACCGAAAATGGGGCTCAAAGTAGGCAAAATCGCTGATGCATAAACATTGCCGAGACCGCTAACTTCGCGAGAGCATAATTCCCTAAGTTTTCCATCAAATTTCATACTTTTGGTGTCATTATGATCGGGAAAAGATTCTCTATCTTTTCATAAGAATTTTTTTTTTTTAAATTTGGCCGACCCTGAGAACGAGTCTCGGAGAGGGCCTGTCGACCCTCAAAGGGTTAAATCTGCAGTGAATTAGTTAAGGTACTACTAAGGTAGGTATTTAGAAATATAATTCCTAATTAAAATGGTGGCATATGTTTCTCCTACTTGCACTTTACTTAGAACACAACTCGACCAAATTCATAAAAAAAAAAAAAAAAAAAAAACTAGTGCTTTACATGTTTCCAAAATTATGATCTAGATAGATGAGGCTTGTTTACAATGTTTACAACTAATCCACAAATGGGAGATAAATCTTTAGTTGATGTTTGAGTCCATCCCAGATAATTATCAATTCACAACTGAGAGAGAAAAGGTGAATAAGATTAGGTGAAGTGTTATTAGACAATTAAGGTAAGGTGAGGATATGCAGCATGTAACTTGTCCTCTTAAGTCACAGCACTGGTTTCTTGCTATATTACTATTTTACAAATTTACAGGCCTCCTTATTAGGGGGTTTCAGTTAACCAACATTTTTAGCGATGACTATCCCACAAATAGATTCAATTGCTTACAGGTTTCTGGCAGTGCCCAATTTTCTCAGGCTTTATACATTATCTCTACACCGAAAATTAAATATACAAGATTTAATTTAAATTGTACTTAATGGGTTTCCCATGCCCAAGTATTTTAATTTTCTGGTCATTGCTTATTATAAATGTCAATGCTAAACAAAATAGCATGATACACTACGGAAATGTGATTTCTGAAATATAAAATAAGCCAAAATCTGAAACAAAATTATGGAGACAATTTTGTATTACAGCCTCTCCTCACTTAACCCTTTGAGGGTCGCCAGGCCCTCTCAGAGACTTGTTCTCAGGGTTGCCAAAATTTAAAAAAAAAAAAAAATTATTTTTTCTTATGAAAAGATAGAGAATCTTTTCCCAATCATAATGACACCAAAAGTATGAAATTTGATGGAAGACTTACGGAATTATGCTCTCGCGAAGTTAGCGGTCTCGACGATGTTTACTCATCGGCAATTTTGCCCACTTTGAGCCCTATTTTCAGCCAATTCCAGTTACTAGTTGACAAAAATCATAACTATTTCGCTAGAACTCCGTTTTTTCTATCGAATGAGTACAAGAACCCACCCATTTGCCAATTTCAACTATCCAATAAAGCAGTCAGAATTTAGCAATTTTGTCAATTTCACACAAATTTCAAAAGATGCCAATTTCCAAATAGGGTCCAGAATAAACAAGAAAGACATTCCTGGCACTAAAATAACATTTCCTCTGTTCATTAGTCACATCCCCATGCCCCTCTTACATTTCTTTTGCTTTCCACTTTGAATTTTTACTCTCACAAAAAATAGAAAATTTACTGTTATGCAGACTACTGTATTAGTGTAGAAATGGTATAAATAATATCAGCGCACTTATGAAAGAATATTAGATTCACCAGTTGACGTGTATTGGACGCGTGGCATGATTTGTTTACTTTTGAACTTTGGCAAAAATCGAACATTTCTGCTACTTTGAGCTCAATTTCAAGGTACTTTTCATTGTGAAACCAATCAAAATCATCTCAATTTCTGTAATATGTCTTCCATTCTATAAAATAAGACCAGGAAAACTAGAATACAACCATAAATACCATACAAAAATACAGTGTAAAATCGCTGTTTTAAACCAAAAACAAGGTCAAAGTTTTTTTTTTCTCATTATGCACTGTGTGCTGCAGGATTTTTTTTATACTGCACACACTGACCACACAGACCCATTCTTTCATATGTAGGCCTACCAGCTTTCTCTTGCTAGATTTGAGGGCGTTAGAATTTATGCGTACTAGTACGTCAAAAACCCTGGCGCGTAAGCCGTACTAGTACGGGCAAAACCCCGAAAGGGTTAATGATGGAGTTCGGTTCCTAAGACCACGTCGGTAAACGAATTCGTTGCTAAGTGAGGAGCATACTATAATGGTAGTGTGTCTGTGTCAACCATCTTTGATAATGTTTTAATGTCACCTTTGCACCACTTATGACATTTTGGTATACAGTGGTACCTCAGAATACGAACAGCTCAAAACTCGAACAATTATGTAAGTGTATTTATGTAAGTTCTTTTGTAAGTGTATTTTTAGGGGTCTGAAACGAACAGCCTTCTGAAACGAAATAAATTCGTATCCCAAGGTACCACTGTATTTTTAAATGTGTTTATACAGCAGTATACTATAGTATATTGTAATAAACAGAATAGAGGAAATCAGCTCTAATATACATTATTTAGGCATGCATACTTGTCAGAGAGCCTGTCGTAAATCCGAGTCGTTGGTAAATGAGTACGTCGCTAAATGAGGAAGGCTGTACTCATATTCTTATTTCTGTGGAATCTCTTGATAACATAACCCATGCAAATTTTTTCGAACAGCTGTATATGATTTCATGTATTATTACATTCTTGGGAGGAGCGTTAAACCCATACCAGTCATATAATGCATGGGAAAACGAAAGGCAATTAGGCTCAATCCAAGGAAAGGATCAAGAGCTCTTTACCAGCATCAAGGTACCTCCTTTAAAGGACATAATTTCATGTAATGACTTCCCCATTTTTAAAATCTGTCATCAAGTAAAGAGGATGTTTATGCAGTAATCTCTCTCTCTTATTTATAATATGTGTAAGGGGTATTTGAATTTTAGGCAGTTCCACATTTTATAAATCACACACCTCCTTTTATTCAACAAAAAAAAAAAAAAATAAAAATTAGACTCTAAATTTAAACCAATTTTTTTTTTACTATTAAGAAAGTCCCAATTTAAAAAAAATGACTCATTTGTAAAATTCCAAATTAAAATTTTTCCAAAATTACATTTTATTTTTCATTCCTATTAAGAACATTTTTTATTTGTAAATATTCAAAATAAAAATATATTTTCTGAATTAGGAAAAGTTTTGAGGACTAGGCAAAATTAAGATATATTACTGTTACATTAAGAAGGTACTGTATACTCAGAGTGACTATTTCTCACCTTCTCCTTAGGAATTCTTCGACCTTCAGCACGGGATTTGTCTTTGTTAATATATGCAGGATACAAACAGATCCATCTGTGAAATTAATGAAAATTTGCTTCAGTAGTATTTAGTGGACACCATATTCCAGTGTTATGAGCACATAGCTTAAGCCCCATAGGCTGTACTTCCTCTAATACGGGAGAGAAATATCAGCCAAAAAAATATCTACAGGTAAAGTTTTTAAATTCAATTATGAGGTGTGATAAAATAACATTAAGTCTAAGTTTTCTGTAAATTTTCATGATGCAGCACTGCATCACAGTAGTGTACATTAGTTAAACTACAGCTGTTTTATCTCCTCCTCCCTAAGTGTTTTAGGCATTTCACACAAAATTTATAATTTTATTACAATGATTTCAAGGCCACACAGATGTTATTGGCAGACACAAATACAGGTAGTACATTATGTACAGTTGATTAAATCAGGATAAGCAAATGAAGTCAGTGTGGCAATACAATTGTAGAATATGCTGACAGTATGCATTGAGACATGAGGGTTAGGGCATTTTATTAATAAAGATGTTTTGAGAAGTTTTAGATAATACTGTGAATTCTAAACACAATTTACTGCAACGGTCTCCTACTTTATTAAGTTTTGTCTCTTGGAAATTCATCAGGTGGTTCAGTATAAAAAGCATACATTACTAATACTGTCCTTCTAGTATACATATACATTTGCTTTGACTCTAGTGTCTAGGTCCCTCATAATTTCTCCTATATAAAAGCCTTGGTCTAACTTCCACATGCTACTGCTAATTATCCAACAATTAGCTCAATTTGTAGTAGTCTCAGCTTGCACACTGACTGGGTTTCATCTCTGAATGAGTGGAAATGAGCATGTTTCCTTAAACCTGGTGTCCCTGTTCACCCGGCAGCATGTAGATAACCTGGGTGTTAGTCGACTGTGGGGGACAAGATTGAGGACCCCAGTGGAAAAAATGACAATCCTCGATGATGCACTGACTTTCTTGGGTTATCTTGAATGGTTAATCCTACGAGTTAAAAATCCCAACAAATCTTAATATTAAGTGTTAAGGAACTATGGTGGGTTGCATCCTGGGCGAGAAAATTTAGGTGACCCCGGTGGAAATAAGACCGACAATCCCCGATGACGCACTTATTTTATTGGGTTACTAAATGTCCGAGTTATTGACCTGAACAAAATCTTAAGTTTATTTATGCAAAGGTACACATTAGTACAATTATTATACATAATGTAAATTACCTAGGATAACCCCAAAAAAGTCAGACTGTGAAGTATGACTTTTTTCCATTACATACATTTTGATTACCTTTGTCATTACTTATGAGTATATGTAAGTAGACTTATATAAAAGTATATCATTAAAACTCTGATAGGTTCCCCCAACCCAGGTTTTATCCATAATATTCGCACCTGTCAAAACCATCTGGTAGTTTTGTCATGGGTCGAGCCGTCGCCGCCGCCGCCATGATGTTTGTTTACCTCTTACAACGTTCACACCTTAATATATCTCCATGGGTTTTGACTTATTTCCTGGTGTACATAGCTTCTATATATTGTTAATTATAAAATAATGCCCTGGCTAATATTGAGCTTATGGGCTTCTATTTAGTATTAGTATTTTTTAAATAATAATAATAATAATAATAATAATCTTCTGCATGTACAAGGCAAATAATAATAATAATAATAATAATAATAATAATAATAATAATAATAATAATAATAATAATAATAATAATAATAATAATAATAATAATAATAATAATAACAATAATAATAATAATAATAATAATAATAATCATAACAATAAATATTATTATTACAGTGCCTGCACTCTGAAGGAGGAGTGTTAATGTTGCAGTTTAAAAACTTTGGTTTTCATTGTTATTTAGACCCTCCCCTATAAATAACAATAAAAACCAATGTAAATACTATAATGATCCACAGCTACGCAATCCAACATGCAGCTAGGAGGATTGGTAAAGCATACCGTGAATGTAGAACCCCAGACCTGCTCAGAACGTTCCAAGCTGCACTAACAAATGCAAGGAATAGAAAGGAAGAACTTAGGCAACAGGAATGGGAAGTTTGTTAGTGGATTAAATAGGTCCACCCCTTTGAGTTTGGCTTGGAAAGGTATAAATAAAATAACCAGGAAAAAGACTGGCAATGTTGCTCATCCCTTTCATCTTGAAAAAGCAAATGACCTCATAAATGACTGGTCCAAAACATCCAGGCATGAAAACCTTCCATCTCATATTAGAAAAAATTTAGAGAGTACTTCTAGAGAAATGTTGAAACTGATTAATTTTATGAGCCAAAATATTGATGAGAGTGATTGCCTCTTTACCGAGTATGAATTAGATAATGCATTAACCAAAGGTCGATCAACTGCTCCTGGAGAGGATTGTATAACCTATGATATTCTCAGAACTCTAAGGCACGTGCCTGATAACCCTTTGTTGGCACTGTATAATCTCAGTTACATTGAGGGCGTTCTTCCTACTTCGTGGACCAATAGTCTCATTGTGCCTATCCCTAAGCCCCAACAGCCTGATACATTTAGGCCGATCTCCTTAACTAGTTGTCTTTGTAAAACTTTTGAAAAAATGATACTTAACAGACTGTACTACAGAATCAGACACCAAGTTTCCCCCTACCTCTGTGGGTTCATGAAAGGTAAAAGTGTGCAGAACTTTATTTCCACCTTTCTCACTGCACACACCTCTACTACTTTTCTTGATCTAAAATCTGCATTTGATATTGCGAACAGAACCGTTATACTACATGAACTAGCCAAAATGAATATTGGTGGTAACTTACTCTGCTGGATAATAGGATACCTGTCAAATAGAGTATCCTCTGTCCTTTACCAAGGGTTCAGAAGTGATTCTAAAGAAATGTCTTTAGGTACACCGCAGGGAGGAGTTCTTAGTCCCATGCTATTCAATATTCTGATTAATGCTCTCCTAAATGCTCTACCTGCCTCACCTAAACATATAGCTATAAGCTATGCTGATGATATGATCCATACAACAGGGCATAAGAAGATGAATACCATTCTTAATGAAGTTCAAGCAATTTGTAATCGACTAGGCCTCGTAATATCTTCCTCTAAAACAAAGATATTAACAAGCAAACGACATCCCCCATCCATCTATTTGCAGGGTGAAATCATTAGCTACGTTAAAACTTACAGATATCTTGGTGTTGATGTACCCTTTAACAAATCCACTATACCACAACTAAACAAGAAATGCAAAGCTAGGCTAAATGCTCTCAAAGCTGTTGCTGGCTGCAATCCCAACTATGGTGCTAATGTGAGAATCGGGAGAATGATGGTCCTTAATTGATTATGCTGCTCCCATGTTGATATTAGCTAGAGGAAGTTCTCTCCGACCCTTGGAGTTAATGCAAAATGAAGCTCTCAGAATTATTCTTGGCTGTCCCAGATCTACGAAAGTTCTTAACATGAGGAAGGAGCTTGGTATTTCTAGTATCAGTGATAGGATTGTTGAGATTAACACTGTACTCGGTATTAGAATGTTGAGAAACGAACCAGACACTGTCACAGTGAATCTTACCAAGTGTCTAGAGGTAAATACACACAGATCTAAATGGATTGTGAAAACGTGCAATTGCATTAAGTTTTATAACCTGCATGAACTGTACCACTGTAGGTCAACAAGAGCATTTCACCCCTCCGTGGAAGATGTGTTCATTTAATATCACTGTGGAAAATTGCATTTATCTGAATGTAACTCATTGTGTACATAACAGAAAATGATAACAAAGATAATTATTATTTATCAGAGTTAGTAGAGTAGGAGTAGATGTAAAATAGAAAGAGACAGGCGCTCCCTTTACAGGCGACGGAAAAGAATAACAGAGCGGCTAAAAGAGGTCAATATATCTGAAATGCGTAGGGAGACACTGGTCAGAGAAATAGCAAGCATCGAACTTAAGCTAAAGGAATCTTATAGGAGTCAGGAATCGCGGGAAGAACTAAAAGCCATAAATGAAATCGAAAGAAACCCAAAGTATTTCTTCTCCTATGCCAAATCAAAGTCGAGAACAACGTCCAGTATTGGGCCCCTACTTAAACAAGATGGGTCCTACACAGATGACAGCAAGGAAATGAGTGAGCTACTCAAGTCCCAATATGACTCAGTTTTTAGCAAGCCGCTAACCAGACTGAGAGTGGAAGATCAAAATGATTTTTTTATGAGAGAGCCACAAAATTTGGTTAACACAAGCCTATCCGATGTTATCCTGACGCCAAATGACTTCGAACAGGCGATAAATGACATGCCCATGCACTCTGCCCCAGGGCCAGACTCATGGAACTCCGTGTTCATCAAGAACTGCAAGAAGCCCCTATCACGAGCCTTTTCCATCCTATGGAGAGGGAGCATGGACACGGGGGTCGTCCCACAGTTACTAAAAACAACAGACATAGCCTCACTCCACAAAGGGGGCAGTAAAGCAACAGCAAAGAATTACAGACCGATAGCACTAACATCCCATATCATAAAAATCTTTGAAAGGGTCCTAAGAAGCAAGATCACCACCCATCTAGAAACCCATCAGTTACACAACCCAGGGCAACATGGGTTTAGAACAAGTCGCTCCTGTCTGTCTCAACTATTGGATCACTACGACAAGGTCCTAGATGCACTAGAAGACAAAAAGAATGCAGATGTAATATATACAGACTTTGCAAAAGCCTTCGACAAGTGTGACCATGGCGTAATAGCGCACAAAATGCGTGGTAAAGGAATAACAGGAAAAGTCGGTCGATGGATCTATAATTTCCTCACTAACAGAACACCCAGAGTAGTAGTCAACAGAGTAAAGTCCGAGGCAGCTACGGTGAAAAGCTCTGTTCCACAAGGCACAGAAACATTGAACGTGTTTCTTTCCACCTGTTGTCTATGTTCCCCATCAGTAAAATGGGTACCTGGGTGTTAGTCGACTGGTGTGGGTCGCATCCCGGGACACTGACCTAATTTGCCCGAAATGCAGAGCATAACAAGGGGAGTTTCTATATAGTAGTATGTCATTGTTGTCAGTTAGGACTGTATACCTTGTACATGTACTTGTAGTAAATAAAGATATTATTATTATTATTATTATTATTATTATTATTATTATTATTATTATTATTATTATTATCTTGTTCTCATCCTCATATCTGACATAGACAAGGATGTCAGCCACAGCACCGTGTCTTCCTTTGCAGATGACACAAGAATCTGCATGACAGTGTCTTCCATTGCAGACACTGCAAGGCTCAGGCGGACATCAACCAAATCTTTCAGTGGGCTGCAGAAAAACATATGAAGTTCAACGATGAGAAATTTCAATTACTCGGATATTTGGTAAACATGAGGAAATTAAATCTTCATCAGAGTACAAAACAAATTCTGGCCACAAAATAGAGCGAAACACCAACGTCCAAAGACCTGGGAGTTATCATGTCGGAGGATCTCACTTCAAGGACCATAACATTGTATCAATCACATCTGCTAGAAAAATTACAGGATGGATAATGAGAACCTTCAAAACTAGGGAGGCCAAGCCCATGATGACACTCTTCAGGTCACTTGTTCTATCTAGGCTGGAATATTGCTGCACCTAACAACACCTTTCAGGCAGGTGAAATTGCTGACCTAGAAAATGTACAGAGAACCTTCACGGCGCGCATAACGGAGATTAAAACACACCTCAATTACTGGGAGTGCTTGAGGTTCCTAAACCTGTATTCCCTGGAACGCAGGCGGGAGAGATACATGATTATATACACCTGGAAAATCCTAGAGGGACTAGTACCGAACTTGCACACGAAAATCACTCACTACGAAAGCAAAAGACTTGGCAGACGATGCAACATCCCCCCAATGAAAAGCAGGGGTGTCACTAGCACGTTAAGAGACCATACAATAAGTGTCAGGGGCCCGAGACTGTTCAACTGCCTCCCAGCATATATAAGGGGGATTACCAACAGACCCCTGGCAGTCTTCAAGCTGGCACTGGACAAGCACCTAAAGTCGGTTCCTGACCAGCCGGGCTGTGGCTCGTACGTTGGTTTGCGTGCAGCCAGCAGCAACAGCCTGGTTGATCAGGCTCTGATCCACCAGGAGGCCTGGTCACAGACCGGGCCGCGGGGGCGTTGACCCCCGGAACTCTCTCCAGGTAAACTCCAGGATCCAGGAAAGCATGTAAGTTAGGATGAATTACAACAATTGGATATGTTGTATGTTGAAGACAGTAATCAGTAGTTAAATCAAGTTTATAAAACTCCTCACAAACAGTGTCCATAATATCTTGCTACCAATTTTGTCAAGGCTGGGGACCAAAGCAATCATAGTACTTGGGGGAAAGAGCACAACTTTGGTAAAATAATCTGCCCTTCATGTAGAACTAGTGGTAAAATAATCTGCCATTCATATAGAGTACTAATGGTACAGTAATCTCCCCTCATATAGAGTACTAATGGTACAGTAATCTCCCCTCATGTAGAGTACTAATGGTACAGTATCTCCTCATGCAGTATCTGGTAATAATCTCCCCTCATGTAGAGTACTAATGGTACAGTAATCTCCCCTCATGCAGAGTACTACTGGTACAATAATCTCCCCTCATGTAGGGTACTAGTGGTACAATCTCCTTTCAGTAATAGTGGTACAATAATCTCCCCTCATGTATAGTACTAGTGGTACAATAATCTCCCCTCAATAGTAAAGTGGATCCTATACTAGTGGTCAATAATCCGGATCATGTAGAGTAGTAGTGGTACAGTAATCTCCCTCTGCGTGCGGCCAACAGTAACAGCCTGGTTGATGAGGCCCTGATCCACCATGAGGCCTGGTCACAGACCGGGTCGCGGGGGTGTTGACTCCCTAAACCCTCTCCAGGTATACTCTCGTATATAGAGAGTATACCTGGTGGGAGTGGTGGCCTTGAGAGGTTCCGTGAAGGTGGTGGTGAGGGTCTCTTGACCCAAGGAATGTGATCAATGCCACCTGGGAGTGAACTTAGCCTACCAGGTGGTCCATGACCCCCACAGGTTGAGCGCTCCACCATGAGTAGTACTGATAGTGAGGGTGTAGTAGTGCCATCTAGTGGTGGTAATGAGAGTCAGTCAGGTTATCAGTGATGGTGTTATAGAAGGTCAGGACAGTGACCAACCTCAAGGGCACTGAAGGTCAGTTGAACTTCAGTGGTTGTACAGAAGAGACGTGTTGCTCCGTCTCCTGCCCCCCCCCCCTACCCCGCCGGCTTTACCGCTTCCTCATCCATTTAATACACCTAAATAACGTAAGTATTGTCTGGTGACGTATTTGTCAGTACAACAGCAGAGTTGAGCTGCAGCTCCTGGTCCCCACCACCAGTTTGGTCACCAATTTATTAATATTTAAGTCTTAATTTTCTTTGTGGGTCTAATGTTTTAGAGGGGTGATTGACTTTAGTGGAGGGGTTTTGATGCGAGGAACTGGAGATACTCCTCTTCCTCTGATCAAACAATAACTCACACTAATCATTACATAACTCATAATTGTGTATCCAGTTCTGGGCTATTTTTTTCCATTATTGAAAAATAAGTTAGTGAAGGTTTCTTGATCCAAGGAACTTGCGCCTTGTGATCCAGATAGACTTCCATGTAACCAAATTGTTAATCATCAGATTTATGTGAAAGAAATGTTTATTAAAGAAAAGGATAGCTTTACTGTTAAACATTAATGGGCATATCAGTCAGTAATGTTATTAGTTTATATTACATGGTAATGTTTGCCTGTAAATGTAAGAAATGTTACGGTTATAATGTGAATGTGTTTTGTTTCAGGTCTGGTAACAGGATTGCTGTGTCTGGCTGTCTCTACCGCAACATTGATCAACACGACAACTTTGACCAGTCTGAGTGGTGGAGACAACCACACTAGTAAATGGTCTGACCTATAACATTTAGTGTTATATGGCGATGCAGCAGTTGGAGACGTCTTTAGAGGTGAGCAGGGCTCACTTGTAAGGTATTTTCAGGTTATAAGTCCACTAAAGTTTGGTTATTGAGGTAGTAATTGTATTAGGTGGGAAGGTGGTTTACCTGGAGAGAGAGTTTACCTGGAGAAGTTTCGGGGGTCAATGCCCCCGCGGCCGGTTTTTGGCCAGGGCAGAGTATAGGAAAGATTGTAAGCAATTGATATCGAAAGTAGCTTAGTAGGATTAAATTGGTTATCTCCCGACAGAGATGAAATGTCTGGCCAGTGGATGTATCTATAGTCCTTGAGAATTGTGACGTTGAATTAACTATCCTGGAGATAGTTCCGGGGGTCAACGCCCCCGCGGCCCGGTCTGTGACCAGGCCTTCTGGTGGATCAGAGCTTGATCAACCAGGCTGTTGCTGCTGGCTGCACGCAAACCAACGTACGAGCCACAGCCCGGCTGGTCAGGAACCGACTTTAGGTGCTTGTCCAGTGCCAGCTTGAAGACTGCCAGGGGTCTGTTGGTAATCTCCCTTATGTATGCTGGGAGGCAGTTGAACAGTCTCGGGCCCCTGACACTTATTGTATGGTCTCTTAACGTGCTAGTGACACTGATTAGGTTTTAGGAAGTTTTAGTTTGTGTAATATATTCATTATGCAGTCTATAACCATCCTGCAAGATTGTAGGAAGCAGAGATGAAATGTGTCGGTGATGTATCATGGCACAGTTGGGAGTGGCGTCAACTGAAGAACCGAGATTCGATCCCGGGCACAAATGGGCATGTTCCCTTATATCCATTGGCACTGTTCACATAAAAGAAGGAACACTGTAGCAGGCTTACTGGTAGGGGTCGCATCCTAGGGGAGTATAAATACCCTAATAAAAATGTCTTTGATGTCATCCTGACTTAATTGTGTATTCTGTTAATCTATCGGGCTAATAATAATACTGAGATAGTTTAGTGTAGTGAGAATAATTGCAGCGGTCTTGATGCCGGGTGTAAGGAAAGCCTATTAAACCAGGCATATCCATTAAACCTTTACCAGGCTTGGAGAGGGGTAATTACCCTTTTCCACTCCTGGTAAAGGGGTAATTACCCTTTCCCAGGCCTGGTAAAGGGTTTTAAGACACAATATAGGAGCACGAAACAAGCCTATTGACCCATGTTAGGCAGGTCCAACTCTCAACCACTCATTTGTCTAGCCTATTTTTAAAACTACACAGCCAAAGTTTTAGCTTCACATGACGGGATAAATTTTCCTTAGGCAGGATATATTATATCCCAAAAAATCAATAATATCTACTCAAAATGTGGAATTAACCACATCTTATTTTCAGTAGGGTTGTAGAAGGCCTGGTCAAGTAATTTTATGCTTTGAAGTCCCAAAAATATTTTCAGTAGTATAGCCTTGTGGGTTTAGCCCTTAACGACTCCAGAGTCTGTATTAGAGCGTCTTGGGGGGGGGGGGGGAGCATTTGCTTTGAAATTGGGTTATACAGTAAATATTTACAGAGACTTTGTAGACCCGACTCGACTTTGTCTACTTTGTAGGCCCCCTTGATCTTGCCTTTACCTCCCTTCATTCCCCCTTGCGCCGCCACTGCTCTGCAAATTAGTTGTTTTATGTTTTCACATTATAAATGGTGTACAATACTAGGTTAGTAAGAGACATTGTGACAGGTATCATTATTCATAAAATGTTTCGCTCGAGCTCTACCCTCCAATCTTGATATTCGGTCTTTTAGCCAGATTTTTTTTTCTAATTTCTTATCTAGCATTGGCCAACAGGAACACTGGAGTTTCTTTTCATGCCTATTGTAAGCTCCTGTTGAACTTTATTAGTGAAGGCTAACGTGTCGCAATTTCCCCACTGTTTTTTGTGCTAACACTTTCAGCTACGAATGTTGTTACTATTGCTAGTATTAATGTTACTACTACCTCCGCTACTACCAGGACTTACTGCAAGACTGACTACCAGCACTTCTGTTATGACTAGTACTAATACTACCACTATTAACATTATCACTACCACCATTGGTATTACCACAGATCTTACCAGTGCTTTCTATGCTACTATTGTTAGTATTACTACTACTGTCTGTACCACTGCTGCTGTTTTTTGTAACTTGCTCGCCTGACGTCCTTTGTAATTTCACCTCCCCTCTCCATGTTTTTTTGTGGCCTTGTGGTCTCTTATTTTTTGACCTATGGTCTGACTTGATACTCGTCCCAGAGAAACCGAAAGATCGTCTCGAATTGCTTCTCCATTGCATGCATAATAAACATATTAAACTAAAAAAAACTTGCTGGTTTCCATAAGCGTATTGTAAGTAGTTTCATGTATTTAGATTAAGAATGTAACTGGAGAATCTGCTATATGCATTATGAATGCATATAGCAGGGGAGAGTAATCTCCCCCGAAGGCATAAGTTACGTAGAACTGTGGGCCTTGGAACCCACCAACGACCTTCAGAAGCTGTGTGGAATCTGTTATTGCACGTGGTTTCTGTAGGGATGTTGGTGGGTTTCGGGCTTTGGGTAGTGGTTGCGGTGGGTGTTCTACGTATTTTATGCCTTTGGCCAAACTGTGCAAATTTGATGAATCAGTATTTAACTTTACACATTTTCATTATTTTGGAAAATTTAAGAGGCGTTCACGTTCCTATGAATGTAAAAGTATTAGCGTTCAGAATTGCAGTTGGTTAGAGAGTTTGTAAGTAGTGAAGTCTAACGCTTCTGCCAGCAGACGTTAATGATGAAAACCTCTGTGATTTGAAGTTACCTGGAGTTTACCTGGAGAGAGTTTCGGGGGTCAACGCCCCCGCGGCCCGTCTGTGACCAAGCCTCCTGGTGGATCAGCGCCTGATCAACCAAGCTGTTGCTGGCTGTGCACGCAAACCAACGTACGAGCACAAGCCGTGATCAGGAATGACTTTAGGTGCTTGTCCATGCCAGATTGAAGACTCCCAGGGGTTGTTGGTAATTCCCCCTTATGTTGTGCTGGGAGGCAGTTGAACATCTCGGGCCCCTGACCTCATTGTAGGGTCTGTCAACGTGCTATTGACACCTGTTTTCATTGGGGATGGTGCATCGTCTGCAGTCTTTTGCTTTCGTAGTGAGTGATTTTCGTGTGCAAGTTCGGTACTAGTCCCTCTAGGATTTTCCAGGTGTATATAATCATGTATCTCTCCCTCCTGCGTTCCAGGGAATACAGGTTTAGAAACCTCAAGCGCTCCCCAGTAATTGAGGTGTTTTATCTCCGTTATGCGCGCCCGTGAAAGTTCTCTGTACATTTTCTAGGTCGGCAATTTCACCTGCCTTGAAAGGTGCTGTTTGAGTGCAGCAATATTCCAGCCTAGATAGATAAGTGTTAGTCGGCAGAAATGATTCACTAACATCTGATAATGAGTATATTTAAGGGGCTGATTTAATTGGTATTAGTGGGAATAGGATTATTAACCCTGCTGGGTTAGTGGTTCTCAGGTTGTGCCTAGGATGCCAGCCATAACTGGCAGGTTATGAATTCAGGCTAGCATAGTAGTGCGCGTTAGGAAACTGGTATACGGCAGGCATCTAGACTAACAACCAACACTAGTTAGATAACCCAGTTAGTGTGCTTTGTATTTCCCCTACACTTCCACGTCCCTCAATGTTTTAATGTTCCTAACTACCTTGATGTTAAATTTGGACACCCTTTGTACTTGTAAAGGTATCGTATTGAAAATTCTTGTAAGTACGCTCCCCTTCCTAGCGTCAAACCTAATTGCCTAACATATCCATAGGGGTTACACAGTTTGGGGAATATGTAGTTAGGGGAAATTTTATTTGGGTAAATGTGCACGTATGTAAAATAGTTTGAATTGAGGGGGAGGGGGTAAACTCGGGGGGGGGGGGCAGGTCGATGAAAGTAGTCAACTTGCACTAAGATGTTTTTTTTTTTTCCAGTTAAATATAGGCGTCTAATGTCCCTTAGAATCTAGCCAGACCTCCTACTAATGTAGGTTACAGAGTTTACCCTCGAACTTTTGTTTGTCAGGAGGATTCTGCGGCCCTTAGACAGGACATTGGAGACAAGAGGTGATCATAATAGCCTTTGTTGTGCATGCGGAAGTTTGCAGTGCAGATAGTGTCGTACATGATTGGGCACTGCCCAGTGTCGCACCTGACAATACAAAATCGTGAAATTTAAAAATGTATACCTCAAACTACTAATAATGGCAGTATTGAGGCTATCCGCCTCATTACTACTGTTGTTAGTAGGGTTGGGGTAGGTATATTTTTTTTTTCCCCCGAGCTTAAAGCTCCCGGATTGTGTGAATGATGTCCTGCTGACAAATACAGCAGCTGAGGTTTTTCTCAGTTATTTCCCCTCTATTTCTTTCATGTTCCTTGAACACCTTTGTGGCGTGTTCCTTGAACATTTTGTGCGTGTCCATGAACACCAATTTGGCGTTCCTTGAACACCTTTGTGGCGTGTTCCTTGAACATCTTTGTGGCGTGTTCTTGAACACTTTGTGCGGTTCTTAACACCTTTGTGGCGTGTTCCTTGAACACCTTTGTGGCGTGTTCCTTGAACACCTTTGTGGCGTGTTCCTTGAACACCTTTGTGGCGTGTTCCTTGAACACCTTTGTGGCGTGTTCCTTTAACACTTTGTGGCGTTTCCTTGAACACCTTTGTGGCGTGTCTTGAACACCTTTGTGGCGTGTTCCTTGAACACCTTTGTGGCGTGTTCCTTGAACATTTATCACAGCAAAGAAAGACAATTTACTTACTACATTTTATTTAATGATCTTTAGTTTATCGAATCTTGTAGGTTGAAGATATTCCCCATGTTGTGGGCAGCTGCTGCGATGTGGTGAAGTCCATGTGTGCAGCTGCTGCTGTGTGGTGAAGTCCATGTTGTGTGCAGCTGCTGTTGTATGGTGAAGTCCATGTGTGCAGCTGCTGTTGTATGGTGAAGTCCATGTTGTGTGCAGCTGCAAGTCTTCAGAGATCACCAGCAGCAACACCCCAAAACAATGTCTGCAAAGGTAAAAGTATGGACATATTAAATTATTAATGAACTGCAGTAAACAACAGTTTGAATTCTTACTATTTAGACTGTTTCCTTCAATATTTTGTAGAAACAAAAATTGCTAAAATATTTTCAAAGCTGATCTATCAAAAATTACCATGAAATTGGTACTCCAATTTTTTTTTTAAATTACAGATTTTATGGCACTGGAAGAGCTGAAGGTGTTGGTGTGGTGGATGGCAGAGGAGTGACTAGTGGCGCCACTATTCTGGACCTCCATGGCTAAATGGCGCCATTGACCTAGAGGAGGGTGGGTGATGACGTCAGTGGTTGTTGTGGGGAGGGGGAAGGTCGTTAGGGGAAGGGTCGGGGGTTGGCTGCTGGTGGAGGGGGTTGGGGGTGAGTAATTAGTTGTTACTGGTGGGAGGATGATGGGGAGGGGAGTACGGGGTATGGTTGTCACTTGGTAATTACTAAGGGACTAACAGTCTTGTTACTGTGTTAACGTGGCTTGAAGCTTGATATTTGAAACGCCCTGGACAATAGCCCAAAGACACTCGTAATTCTAATGAACAATGTCATGAACTCAAGTTGAAAACCGTCTCCTTGATGTTGGGCTTACGTATTTTGACATCTCTTGTGGGTTTAGTGCTTAGTTTTGATCAGGTCCGGATTTACACTTTTGGAGGGAAGACCCTCAACATAGAAATTAAATTGAATTACAAATAAGAAATGAACTAAAATGAATGATAAACAGCAGTTTTCGAAAAAAAAAATTAGGTTTCGAAGACTGATTTTATTTTTCTCAATTTTATTGACTTTAAGAGCAACAGACTATAATTTTCAGTTTGTAATATATTCCATCTACACTAATAATTACCGATGTGTGTATATTTATATCTTTGGTGTCACACTTTCGGTATCTGTATATGGTGACAGTTGACCAAAAGGACACATGCTTTCCCTGACAGGAAACCAATGGCTGGGTCTAAATACAGGTGGGGGGCTTCCGTTCCTGTTTACTAAGTATCTGTAGAATGGGTTGTGGTGGTTTCATCGCCTGGTATGTTCTTTTTTTTTTTGCAGATATACTTGGGAATGCGGGTAAATTTCCAGAAGAAAACACTGGGAGTGGTACGGTTTATTTAAAAGTTTCTAATTTTCCCCCAATGGAAACAAAGAATATTTTGTCTTTGCAAACCGCAGCATTTATTTCGCTTGATTCTTTGGGAAAACCTTCTTTCCAAGCTGCAACAGAATTTTTTTATGACTTTTTGTTTCCCTTTCCACTGGTTGGTCGGGGTTCCCCATCAGTAAAAAAGGGGTACCTGAGGTTGTAATGGGGTGGGTCGCATCCCGGAGTTTTTTCCCGGAGAGAGTTCCGGGGGTCAACGCCCCCGGGGCGGTTGAGACCAGGCTCCGGTGGATCAGAGCCGACAACCCGGCTGTTGCGCGGCTCCGCAAACCAAAAACGAGCACACCCGGCTGATCCGGAACGACTTTAGGGCTTGTCCAGTGCCCGTT